GTTCCGCAGGGGAACAAGTGGATACCGCTAGTCCGCGGCCAGTGCCAGGGCTCTCTAGCCCGACAGTTTTGTTCAACGCTCCGTGTGCCTCCTGCTGCCCGCAGGTGAGCTTTCTCTGTTCCTCAGCTCGTCCATGGCGCCTCCGCAGCAGCGCAGCAGCTACGTCAAGTGCTACTCCTGCTCGTACGCCTGGAACTGGAAGACCAAGCAGACGTGCTACTGGTGTGGCAAAGCTTTGGCGCCGTGGACAGATGCCCCGCCTCCGGTGCAAGGTGCTTGGGCGGCCCGTGTCTCAGCCGCAGCCCAGGCCGAGGCCAAGTGCACCCAGCAGTCCAGCCCCGAGGGAAGTTGGGAGCCGTGGTCATCATGGCCCAAGTCCCGCCGCCGCCGTGGCAAGGGCAACGGCAAGGACCAAGACGACGACTGGTGGGCCAGCAAGAACGACACCCCCAAGGCTCGCTCCGCCGAGGACATCTTGGCGGAGCTCCAGGCGATCGCCCCCCACATCGACAAGGCAGCCATTGACGGCATCAAGTCGCAGATTCCGCCGCCCCAGCCGCAGAAGCCAGCCGACCTCAACGACATCTACAGCCGCGCCCAGGCTACGGAGCGCCGCTGCAAGAACAACCTGGAGAGGCTGCTGGAGAGCGAGCAGAAGGCGCTCAGCTGGTACACAGAGCGCAAGCAGGCGTCGGAGGAGGCCGCCTACAAGTTGGCTGAAGCCCAGGCGGAGGCCCAAGCGGCTCTCGACGCACTCCAAGCCGCCCGCAAGGGCGGCACAGCTACTTCTACGCCGTCGCAGCAGAACCCGACCTTCAACCTCACCAGCCTCCTCGAGGACGGCGACATCTCCATCGAAGCGGGTGCAGCGCTCGATCTCCAAGGCCTCGACATCGACGACAGCGACCGCCAGGCATGGGAATCCCTGCAACAGCGCTTTGCCACGGAGCTCAAGGCCAAGGTCACTGAGCTCTTCGGCAACACCGCCAGCCGCATCAGCCAGCTCCGAGCAGAGGCCAGCACCACGCGCACGCGCTTCGCCTCCAAGCGGCAGCGCGCTGACGAGGATGGGCACGCCAGAGAGGGAGGTGGATCACCGCCCGCCGCCTCGGCTGCAGCAGGCGAACCCCCAGCGGCAGCCGCAGCGGATGCTGAGGGCACTGCGCCCTCTCCGCCAGCGGCGCCAAGCGATGAGCCTCCCGCACCTGCTGCTGGCGCTTCTTCTGACGGCGGCTACGCCACACAGCCTGTACCTGCACTCAACAAGGACCCCGACCTCGAAGACAAGGCACAGAAGATGCTCAGCCAGATGCGCAAGCCCACTGCTGCCGCCGCCGCTGGACCGCAGCAGCCTCTTTAGCCGACTACAACCCGACCCTGGACGGAATGGTGAGACGGGACGCCTACCGTCAGAGACCACGATCTACGACAACCCACCGATCATCAATACAATGGACGCAGTCCTCGACCCGTTCGACGAGCTGGCCGAGTTGGACGCCCACATCGATTTCGCAGTTTCCGAGCAGTACGCTACCGCCCCGCCCGAGACGCTGTCCTCGGTAGGGGGCGATGAGGCGGCGCAGACCGTCGACCCCGTGGTATGGGACCCAGGGCAGCCGCATCGTGCTACGCGGTCCGACCCTGATGCCGCTCCGCCCGAGACGCTGTCCTCGGTAGGGAGCGATGAGACGGCACAAGCTGTCGACGTGCATGTG